TCAAGGCCAGCCTGGTCTACATAGTAAGTTCCAGGACAGCTGGGGCTACAGGGAGACCCTGTCTCAAAAAGACCAAAAATTTTTAAAAGAGTCTTTCTACAAGGAACAATATATTCTAAAATGAAATGGAGATTTTTTTAAAAGGTTAAGAATTCATTCAATTTAATGTGTTACAGGGCTTATACTGAGTTCAATATTGTATGACTGTATTAACTCAACTGTGAACCTAGAAACTTACAGCCACTTGTGAAAGAGATGTACTCTTGCTCTGGAGTATGTTACTGAATATGTTAAAACTGTAGTGAAATGCTTCTTCTAATTGTGTAGTTATTAAAAATTAAAAAAAAATAATGATAAAAAAAGTTGCTGGAATAAAGACACCAGTAAATGAAAGACAGCCCAGGTTCCTGAACTGAAGACAATAAAGTCTCAGTAACACCCCAAATGGTCTAGAGAATCAATGCAATTCTCATCAAAACCCTGAACACATAAAAAAATCCATCCTAAAATCCATCTGCAGCTGGAGCAACACCAAACAGACAAATCTTGAACAAGAGAAATGAAGGTAAAGTCTGCTTCTTGACTTCAGGATTTACCACAGCAACCAAAGCAGTGTGGAACTGCCATAAAGGAGACAAAAACAATGGAAGAAGTCCAGAACCAACCCTCACATGTATACTCAAATGACAAGTGTGATAAGACCATGCAATGGCAAAGGCAGCCTTTTAGACAACTGGAGCTGGGAAACTGATCTTCACATGCAAAAGAATGAAGCTGGGCCCTTACTGCATACCATAAGGTGATATACAAAAAATGCCTCAAAATAGATCATAGCCTTAGACATAAGAAATTATTATAAAACTCCTAGAAGAAAATCAAGGAGAAAACTTCATGACCTGGAGTTTGGTGATGATTTCTTGGATATGGCTCCCAAAACACAGATAGTTAAAGAAAAAATAGGTAAGTGATCTTTATGAAAATTAATTTCAAATTTTTTTAATTTTTAAAAATTTATTTTTATGTATACGAGTGTTCTGCATGTATGTGTGTACTCATGTCATGCAATGCCTGTGGAGGCCAGAAGAGGGCATTGGATTTCCTGGAACTGGAGTTATAGATGGTTGTTAGCTGCCATGTGGGTGCTACAAACAGAACCCAAGTCCTCTGCAAGAGCAGTCAGTGCTCTTAACTCCTGAGCATCTCTCTAGTCCGTATAAAAATTAATTTTTAAATAACAAAGGATACTACCACCAATGAAAGGCAATCCATGGAGTGGCAGAGAAATGTGCAAATCAATTACCTGATAATGGATTAATATCCAGGATCTATAAAGAACTTCTATAGCTCAACAACAAAAATCAAACTACCTTAACTGAAAAATGAACAAGGAACTTGGGTAAATAGTTCTCCAAATATAATTCAATTCAACTGGCAAAAAATGTACATGAAAAACAGTTCAACGTTACTGAAAGCACTAAGGGAAATGCAAACAAATCCACAAGAGATACTACTCCTTACCCACTAGGAACGCTATTATCAAAATAAAAATAAGGGTTAGTGAGGAAACAGAAATCACAACTGTGTGCACTGCTGGTGGGCATGTGAAACGGTGTGGCCACTGTGGAAAACAGAGAGGTGGCTCCTCAGATAATTTAACAACTGAGAGCAGGGCATGGCAGCACACACCTCCAATTCCAGCCCCTCAGGAGACAGAGGCATGAGGATTGCCATGAGTTCCAGGTCCTCCCATCTACATAGTGAATTCCACACTAGCCAGGGCTACACAGCAAGACCCTGTCTGAATAATAATAATAATAATAATAATAGTAATAATAATATAATAAATTGAGAGTTGGGTATAGGGGCTCATACCTGCAATACCAGCACATAGGAGGGACTAGCCTGAGCTAATATTGAGATTTTTGTCTCAAAAGAAAGAGGAAATACCATATGATTCAATAATAACAGTTCTGAGTACACAGCCAAACAAACTGAAAGCAGGGACTTCTTGTACATGGGTGTTGATAGCAGCATAAATCATGGTACCCAAAAGGTGGAACCTACACTCGATTAAGTTAATGGACAAGCAAAATAGCCTGGACTACACAGTGAGTTTCAGGGCACCCTGGCTAACCAAACTAACAACCAACAACACAAAACAAAACAATTAAAAAAAAAAACACTGTGAGGCCTGAAGAGAGAGGCCACTGGAGCAGTGGCACCCTACAAGGTACCGTACTTTACAGTTTATACCTACTTTCCTGTGGACCCTCACAACTGATCCATCCATTAACCACAAAGCCATGTTCATTAGACCAGCTTAGAGACTGGGAGATGGGGTTCAGAGAAGAGAAAACACTCACTACAGCCTCACAGCCAGGACAGACCAGGACAGACTCTGCAGCTTCTCACCCAGGATAGGCCAGAACAGATTCTACAGCCTCTCACCCAGGATAGGCTAGGACAGGTTAGAGCCTCACAGGCAGGGTAGGCTAAAACAGACTCTACCTCAAGGATTCTATATCCAAACCTGTCCTGGTGATGAGGACACCACCAGTCACTCCTTGTAAGGGTTCTGTTATTATGTTCATTTTATAGATGAGGAAACTGAGGTCAGGAGTGGTAGCTAACTGGCCCAAGGTCACAGGTCTAATGAATGCCACAGAAGTCAGGCTTGCTCCCAGCTCCAGGCCCATGTGGCTAGATATATCTTCATTGGATCAGACCCTACAGAAAGAGCAGCCCAACAGATACAGAGCTTCAGGTATCAGTCCTTAAGAAAGTTCCAGTAAAAGCTGGTAGCCAGTTGGGTGTGGTGGTGCACACCTTTAATCTTAGCACTCAGGAGGCAGAAGTAAGTGGGCCTAGATAGCAAGTACCAGGCCAGCCAGGGCTACATAAGGAGATCCCGTTAATTTTTGTTGTTTTGTAACAAAACAAAACAAAACAAAACAAAACAAAACAAAACAACACCTGGCAGCCAGAAAGTTTGCAAATAAAACCTGAGGAAAGATCCATTTTGAATTCCCAAGTCATCTGGAGCCATAGGGTGGGTTGGGGATCCTCCAAGGGAGGATGGAGAGCTGGGCTTGGGACATTAGAAAGGCTGGACACTCCACCTTTGACTTTCCCTCTTTTTAAGAAACACTGTTTTAATATTTTATGCTTTATTATTTATTTTATGTGTATGAGTGTATTGCCTGCATGTATGTAAGTACAACTGTGTCAAGAATGCCCACAGAGGTCAGAAGAAGGTGACGGATCCCCTGGAACTGGAGTTCTGGATGGTTGTTAGCTGTCATGTGGGTGCTGGGAATTGAACCCGGGTCCTCTGCAAGAGCAGTCAGTGCTCTTAGCCACTGAGCTATCTCTCCAGCCCTGACTTTCCTTCTTATCCAAGTAGATTTCATCAATTAAAGAGAAAAATGTTTGAGATGCTAAGATGGCTCGGTGGCTAACGGTACTTGCTGCCAAGACTGACAATCTGAGTTTGATCCCTGGGACTCACATGGTAAAGAGAGGACTGGGACTAACCCTACAAGTTGTCCTCTGACCTCCACACGTACACCGTGACACAAGCACACCCCCATACAAATGGATGTAATAATTTTTTAAAAGGGAAAATGTTTTTTAAAACTTATTTAAAGTTGGGGGCTGGAGAGATGGATCAGCAGTTAAGAGCACTGGCTGTTCTTACAGAGGACCTGGGTTCAGGGATGGCTTGTCTGCCTGTATCCCCCATGTCCAACTCAGCACTTAATTCTAGGGGCTCATAGACAGGTGAAGAGGGCATGCAGGCAGGTAAGAGGCCTATACCAAGAGTCGGGCAGATAAGACCAGAGATGACAAAGCAACAAAGCTGTGAGATAAAGGGATGGGCAGGCACAGGGCATCAGGGACTCCCCAGGGAGGTCTGAGCTACTAAGCAAGGGCAAGGGGTAGAACGGCAGCGCTCTAGAAGAGTCAGGGGAAATGCTGCAGGATGGGTACTCAGGTTATAACCGATCGCCCTGAATTGGAGTCAAGCCACAGCACCCAATGACTGTCCTCCAAGCAGACAGCCCTGTCCCCACATCTAGAATGTCTTTGCTGACTCATGAGACAGAAAAAGCATGGTGTCATCTCAAGGGAAGGATGGCAACAGGGGACCCTACACCCAGAGCTCAGGGATGCAGACATCAAGTCAAAGCACAGGAGCCCACATGGGGACAACACGGCAGATGGGGTTGGGGAGGTTATACAAGTAGGCAAGGTTCCAACAGCCAGGAAGACAGACACTGACCAAAGGTGTTGGGAGCTGAGCCCCAGGAAAGGGCCAGGGCCACATGGAGGAAAAAGGAGAGTGAGGCAGCCCTGCACTCAGACGAGGACCAGTGGTTGATCCCACAGGCTGCACAGTTCCTGGGTCCAAGGCCCCCTAATGGTCCTCCTGGTTTGTCAGCCAACAAATCAACAAAGAAAACAATGCTCCCAACCTGAAACCTGCTCTCCCTGTCTTCTGGAGGTGAGATTCCCTCCACACTCCACTGCCCCCAACACATACACACACACACACACACACACACACACACACACACACTCACACACACACAGCCTCTCCTCTCAGTCCCTAGAGGCCCCTGGGAGGTAATAGACTGAGTTTTGGTCTCTTAGGCTGCCCAAGCCAGGGAACCATGGAGGTGAACTGAGCATGAGTCTTGGGGTGGAAGCATTACTGGGCTCCTGCCTCACTCATAGTTACATCACTTCCTGAGAGTGTAGAGTATAGCCCGGGGAACTGAGCAGATGGGGCAGGAAGACTGGATGGGCCTCTGGTTCTTGCTACCTCACCCTCCAGCACCTTCCCAAACCAGGAGAGTGGCTCCATCTGACTTCCGGTGGGGTCCAGGCACCCTGACCATGTCCTCCAACCTGCTCCATGGTGGGCAGTAGCCTCTGCCCATCCCTGCCTTCCCAGGTACCTGGTTCTGCAGCTGGGTGGATGTGGCTTGCTGGTCACTGTTGTGGAGGGCCAGCCTCTCCCGCAGGACCACCAGCTCCTCCTGAAGCTGTTCTTTTTCCTCCTGAAGCTGGGACATGGCCTCCACCATTCTATGCACCACGGGGGCTGGGCCTGGTGACCCCGACAGGCTCGAGTACCTCCCGATACCAAAGAGCCGCCCACCTACAAGCAAAGTAGCGGCTGATCAGCAGGGCAGTGGAAGTCCGCCTGGAGGAGGAAGGGGGCCATCATAGCAGGGCACACCATTGGGGTGGGAAAGGGATGCAGGCAGTGGAGCTATGGTAAGACCTGGAGCTGCAGCAACAAAGGTCAGTAGGGGACCTCTAGGTCTGCCTCAGGGGAAGTCACTTCAGCAGTGGCTTCTGGGGGATGAAAGTGCCAGAGGCAAGACTTAGGAAAGCAACTTTCACTGAATCCCCTCAAAGCACATGTGCTCCATGTCTGAAAGGCTAATGCCTATCAGTGCAATTTCCATTGAGAAAGAAAGGTGGTTCACCCAGAAATGGCTGCTTTCAGCTAACTCAAACCCTCTTATAAGCACTGTAGAGAGGAACAGGGCTTCTCAGCTGTCCTATCAGCTGAGCAATCACCTGTGTCTGGAGGGTGGGGGGGGGCAAGTGCCACACATCCTGGCATAGACAGACCAGCCCAGGGGACAAGAGTGGCCAGGCTAGCTTCAAGGTTGACACCTGCATGTGAGAAAACACACAGGGACAAATACTGAGTCAGGTGGGGCCTCAGCCTGAGTCCTCTTCTCTCAGGCCTTCCACTGTTCTGTCATCAGGAGCAAGAGAGACAGATGAACACAGGACAAGACAGAGTCAAGGCTCACAACCTGCTAGTGGGGCTGGGGTGCTTGTTACAGCTTGCTTCCAGAACACTAAAAAGGAGCATGGACTGAGCAATGGGGAGCTAGCAGTAGTTCAGGGGAGAGAGGGATCAGGGAAGAGGGAGAATAGAGGGATTTGTCTTCTCCCCTCAGCAGCCCAAGTGGGGCCCTGCCAAGTGTCCAGGAGGGAAGAGTGCAGAGGATATGTGCTGGTCAGTAAGTCATCCACCTCAACATGGCCTGAGCTTCTGACTTTCCCTCTGCCTGACCACCACTGTGCTCCTGCTCTGCGGAGCCCCAGGGCAGCACAGCGAAGAGGAGGCAGAAGTCACAGCTGCAGCTAGCTAGCTGGGGGTGGCTCTGCTCTCCATGGGTGGGGCTGGCTTCCCCTTCTTCCAGAGAGCTGGGGCTGGGTGATCCATGCTTGGTTAGTACCCCTGGCTGTGTGGCTTTGCATGTGACATAGCATGAAAGTCACACAGAGCTGGCCCAGCTTCTATGATCTGTTCTAGAGGGAGTGAGGGCAGATAGATGCTTCCAGGACAGCACACAGGGCTGCCACGGGTGGCATGTGACCAATGTGGCTACAATGATGCGGGACAGAATGTGCTGGGCTCAGCTGAGAGCTGGGCCTGCCTCTTGAGTCACATGGGAGGGATCCTGCAGGCTCTTTATGTGAAGCAGGCAATGTGCCTGACCCAAAAGCAGCCTTGGGAAAGGAGCTGGGAATCCCATGGGTAACACAGGTGGGAGTGACCATCATAGGCCTCAAGCAGTCCTTTTATCCATGCCAGGGCTCCTGTCCTCAGGAGGGTCTAAGCCCCAACCTCAGCATGGTACCGTGTGAGTGCCAGGCACTGAGAGGGACTTGGGGAGCCATGGACAGTGGGGAAAAAAATCTTAAAAGAAGCTAAGGGAGGTCTGAGAAAAGAGGAAAGGAGGAGAGGTAAGGACCAGGGGTGCTGCTTGAGAACAGGCCATGTACTGAAGGGCTGCCACCTGACAGGTCAGTTTCCAGAGGCACTGCCCAGCACAGGGCCCAGGGCTCAGGGGCTGTGCAGGTCCTCACTGCTCAAAGAACCTAGCCTTCCTCCTCTGGGCCTACCCCACCTAACTGACTGAATGGTGTCCTTTTCTAAAACCCAGCTGCCTACCCCTCAGCCAGATCTCAGACCTGCCCAGCATCCACGGCTCATATAGGTGAGCTGGCACTGGTGCAGCCGCAGAGGAGGGAGCGGCTCTCTCCAGCAACCCAGTTGGCAAGTTCAGACACACAGCTCGCCCTCTGGGAGGGGAAAAGGGAGACACTGAGAAGAGCAGTGCCTTTCCTCTAGGCTCCTCCTGGCCTTGCCCTCAGCTTCCCAGGATGCTCTTTTCCAGTGATCACTAAACTGGAGATAACTGCTGAGAACCCAGAGAACTGCAAAGGGACCTTCTAGAATCTTCTAGAACCAGCCAGTCAGCAGTGGGCCTTGCCAGAGAATAATGGAGCCACTGGTAGCCAAAGGCTCCTTTTCCTCAGCCTAGAGTCAGGAGAATCAAAGCCCTGTCCTATATACCTACTGACCAGGACACAGCCAGGCCTCTGTGGAGGTGGCAGTGGCATCTAGTTGGTAGTGGCATCCGGGAGGCTGCTCCTGGGCCCTGCTTTAGACAGGTGCTGGGAAAGGACAAAAAGAAAGGAAATCTAACCCCATCCCAGCTGGCCAAGGCCTCATCATTGGGTGGGGCTCTGGTGGCCTTGGGAGGAGGGGGGCAGGACAAGAGAAGGGACATACATAAGGATGTCCCTGGATCTAGAAGAGGCTGGCTAGGGTCTTAAGATTACATCAGATGGCCATTCTGGCTGGACCCCCTCTAGCTACAGGACAGAGTGCTGGACATTCAAGAGCCTCCCTCCTGCACTGGCTGAACCAGGGTGTGTCGGGTGATTGAGCTGACCTCCTTTACCTGTTTTCTCTACATTCATGGTACCACCAGCTTCCGGGGCCTCCCGGTCCCGCCTGGGGGCTGGTGCCTGCCTCTTCGGGAGCTTGTCTTCTTTTGTCCCCTGACTCTTGCTCTGGCACCCCTTGTCCTGCAGGGCCTGCTGCCAAGACACAACCAGAATCCTTACGTGAAGGGGACTGTACGGAGAAGGGACCCCTGAGCCCAGGATGATGGTGCTGCTGTGGTCCCAGGACCCAGCAGTCTAAGCCCCACCATGTAGGTGGGGGAAAGGAGCCTTGGGGTCTGGGAAAGCCATGCTCACATCCCACAGCAAGATGATGGTGATTCATTCTCAGGTCTCCACACCAGCAAAGAAGGTTTTAGATACCTCTGGTCCCCAGATGAAACTTAGGCCATCCCTGCAGATACCATGGAGCAGGAATCACCAGCGTGCTCACTTCAGTCACCTGCTCACTTCAAGCCCTATTACTACAGGCAACTATCCAGTCCTGCCTGACACACAGCAATCTTGGGGCAACATCCCCATGCTGGCACCTGCTGCTACCCTCTCAAATACCTCACCCAACTGTAGATGGTACCCCCAGGACTAGAAGGCTATACCTGAGTCTATCCCAAAATGGAAATGGCCTCCTTCACTCTCCCTGTCCCATAAGGCCGTCCAAGGGCCATGGGATCCCACCTCCTAGTAAAGGGACTGAGGCAAAGGAAGCTGGGCTGGAGTAGACCAGTAGAGGAGCAGAAATGGGTATTTGATCCAGAAACATCCTCTGTAGCTCACAGAGAAAGATGCCCAGGTAAGGGGCAGAAGAGCATGAGACAGCAAAATCCCATTTGAGGGTAATATGTACAAAACAGGTGAAAAGCAACCTGGAGACCATGGACAGGGCTCTCTGCCCCTGAAGCAAGGGATGGTGTAGGTTAAGAGTAGAAACAAGTGTCATTTAAACTTCAAGAGAGCAGAAAGTAAGTTCACAACAGAAAAGGAAAGAGATAAGCAGACTGGGCCTTCCATGCCATTCTAGACCTTTCTGGGATTGAATTTTTCACCTTCTAGGCACCTGCAATTTTGGTTTTTCATGTCCACAGAGGTAAATGGGAAGAAGCTTTTGTGTCTTTGTGTTCTCTTCACTCATGTTACATTTTTTGAAAATATTTTATTTATTATTTTTATTTTATGTGTATGAGTGTATTACTGCCTGTATATATGTAAGTGCACTCATGTCATGCAATGCCTATGGAGGTCAGAAGACGAGTCCCCTAGAACTGGAATTACATATGGCTATTAATTGCCGTGTGGATGCTGGGAATCAAACCCAAGTTCTCTGCAAGAGCAGCCAGTGCTCTTAACCACTGAGCCACCTCTCCAGTTCCAAGTGTTATATTTTAAAATTACTCAGTATGGGGTGGGCAAAGCAGCCTGTCACCTGCAAGCTGTGTGGCTGCCAGCAAGCTTTGTACCCTCCCCGAAGCTGTTCCCCCCTTTTTTAATCTAGAAGTGAGCGACCCCTCTAACCTCAGCCTCCTGGCACTGGTGGGCAGAGTAGTCACAGTAGCATGCAAAGTGCTCTTAAAGTGCCTGCCACACGGCACCCAATAAGTGCCACATAGATAGCTGTGATCATCATATAATTTCTGTAATCTTCACTCTTCCTTTGAGCATCAAAAGGCCAATCAAAAGAACTGAAAGGAGAAAGCAGCCCCAGCCAGTGTCAGGTTAGCCATGCCCTCAGCCTCTCCCTCCCTTATCTCTTGTATTTAGAAAAATTTACAACTTAATTTTGTTCTCATCCGTCAACCAACTGCCAGACAGACTTTAGCAGACTACTGGGGTTGGAGAGGTGGTGGTGGTGGTGGGTGGCAGGGATGGCAGCAGCTGGAAGTTTCCAGTGGCCAAAAGGAGCAAAGGTTACACTATTTCTGGGCTACTGGCTGGAGCACAGGAAGGGGAGCCACTGAGTAGGGGCTGGGAATTTCTGCAGTACCCTTTGAGGGTACATCGTAGGCTTTAGAAGGCCGGAGGGACTGAGCTATGACCTACGAGTTGCTTCACCATGCTTAGGACACACTTGGTCCACATCCACCACCTGCTGCACCCATAAACATGGCAGAGGTCTGCAGGGGCCAGAAGGACATGAACTTGGAAGCCCATTGCTGGCAGCAGCTTCTGAGGTGGAGCCTTAGCAGATCTGCTGAGCCCAGAACTCTGCAGCAGCCATGGCCCAGCACCCCATAATCAAAGCTCAAGAGCAGAGCCACCACCCAGCTGAGCTCTGGCTCCTGACCGCAGCCTTCCAATTTAACCTCCCTCTGGTTTCCTTAACTGTTCTCTCACCAGACCTACTTTCCTCCCAGACCTTACAAAAGAAAAGGACCAAGTTTTAGTTTTTAGAAGAACCTCATGGGAGGACCCAAGAAACATTGTGAAACAGTCTTTCCCTGAGGCAGCATCACCCCTGGGCCCCACCCAGAGCAGTGGCTTAGGACAGGTCTGCAGGAGGAAAGATGGCTCAAAAGTGTGTGCTTCCCCCAGTAGCCATCCAACTGCCCACCATTTATACATGCTGCATCCACTCTGCACAGTAGCTACCAGCAAGGGTAGACTGTGTGCAGAAGGCCATCAGAAACTTAGAAGAAATCTAGGCATGGTGGCTCATGCCTATAATCAGAGGACATGGGAAAATAAGGGAGGAGTGCCATGAGTTTGAGGCCAGCCTGGGATATAGAGGAAGCCTCTGTCTCAAAAATAAATAAATAAATAAATAAATAAATAAATAAAATAGAAAAAAAAAAGAATGGAAGGGAATGGTCAATCCCCTCTCTCAGGGGAGTGTAGCAATACCCCCAGAGAACGCTGGCACTTCATCCTCTGCCTGGTTTGCAGTCACACATTTGAGATCATCGGTGACTCTCTGAGGTCTCCACTAGGCTGTCACCTCTATTTCTTTTCTCTACATCCCTGCACCTGGATGTCTTGGCACAAAGCAGCCACTCCATAAATATCTGTTCAGCAAATGCACATGCTACAATACTAATGTAGCCACAGCAGAGGCAGGTGGATCTCTGTGAGTTGGAGGCCAGCCTGGTATTCATAGAGAGTTCTAGACCAGCAGAGAGCTACATAGAGAGATCCTGTCTCTAAACATAAAACAAAATAAACAACCACAAACCCTAATGGTTTACCAGATAAAGGCATTTGCTGCCAAACCTGATAGCCTGAGTTCCATCCCTAGAACCCACATGGTAGAAGGAGAGAACCAACTCACACAAGTTATCCTCTGATCTCCATATACTCGCTGTGTTGTGTCCACACCTGCGCGTACACACACACACACACACACACACACACACACACACACACACCACTAAATAAATAAATAAATAATAAATAAATGTAAAATGCAGGACTAGAGAGATGGACAAGTAGTTAAGAGCACTTGCTCCTCCTGCAGAAGACCCAAGTTCCCAGCACCTACACAGTGGCTCACAATCCTGTTACACCAGTTCCAGCGGTTCTGATGCCCTCTTCTGGCTTCCACGGGCACTGCATGCACATGGTGCACACACAAAACATGTAGACAAAACATTCACACACAACCAGGTGTGGTGGTGCACACCATGAATCCTAGTACTTGGGAGGCAGAGGCAGGAAGATCTTTGTTAGATTGAGGCCAGGCTGGTCTACATAACAAGTTCCAGGCCAGCTGGGGCTACAGGGAGATTCTGTTTCAAAAGATTAAAAAAAAAAAAAAATAAAGACAAAAAAAAAAAAATCATTAAGCCAGGCATGGTGGCACACGCCTTGAGTCCCAGCACTTGGGAGGCAGAGGCAGGTGGATCACTGTGAGTTCAAGGCCAGCCTGGTCTACATAATGAGTTCCAGGACAGCTGGGGCTACAGGGAGACCCTGCTTCAAAAAGAAAAAAAAAAAAAAATAAAGACAAAAAAAAAAAAATCAAAAAAAAAAAAAAAAAAAAAAAAATCATACACAAAATAAATCTTAAATGTAAAATACTAATGTCACAGATGCATGAATGTGAAAGGAATTCAACTGCAGTCAGAAATAATACACAGGAGCCAGGGCAGAGGGTGATTAGCATTATTATTATTATATGACAGTGATAGGGTTGAACCCAAGGCCTCATGTGCACTAGGCAAGTGCTCTAATGCTCAACTATATATACACACAGCCCAAAGATAACTTATGGTAAAATCTCAAGGAGAATATTATGCAGTGGTCAAGAGAATGAGGTAATTCTCCATAAATTAATATGTATGAAGAGATCACCAAGACTGTTGTGAGGAAAACAGCAAGTCATAGAGTAATATGTAAAAATAAATATTAAAAATCATATAACTAGCGGTTGTACAAGAAAGATAAGTGGATAAAGATCAAACCTTTCATAGTGGACTTTTCAAAGATAGAAGACCATGGGGGGCACTTTGTTTCTAAGTACTGTGTGGTAAATTTTTTGACTTCTTTAGATCATTTGTAATAATAAAGCTAGCTGTGTTCAGTTCAGATCTCAGTCTTCTGTGTGACCAGCTACAAGTTCTTTAACTTTTCTGAGCCTCCATGACCTAATCTGCAATTCACACAAAACAGTATCTTTGTGTCACAAGAACTATGAGACCCAGCATGATATACTATGCCTGTTTTCTGAAAGTGTTCAATAAGTCCATAAAACCACTATTATTTAGTAGTATTTCTATAATCAGATGCACACACAAATATGGTAAGTATGCCTTTTGAACATCAGTGGCAACTGCAGAGGAAAGAAGCCAAGTTTTGGTGAAGCAATCTCCCTTTGGATTCTCACTTCAAACAAGGGAACACAGGCATTGTCCATGTGGAAATAAACAGCTCCCCCAAACCAATCTGCTTTCCCAACATTTCCTCTGGCTCTGCACATCTTAGCAAAGGCCTCTCACTTGCCACTTCAGAGAGGGTGTGGCTGAAAAGCTCCTGTCACCTCCTGAGAGACCGTCCCTGAGATAATGCAACCTATTATGTTCACACAAGCTCACAGCTATAGGCTACAAGGGGCTGGTCAACAGATCCCAGCTCTTCCCCTGCCAGAAACAGGCTGCTGGAACTCAGAAGGCCACAGCCAACCAACTCACTCACTCCCATGCCTACTGATGGCCAGTGCTTACCTGAACAGTCAGGTAGAGCCTGTGGGGACTCCTAGGGCCTGCCCAGTCCACGCTGAGGGCTCGGCACTGCGCTAGGGCTGGGCGAACTGCAGTTCGGGCACTGGAGTCCTCTTCACCACCACCTAGGGTGTCTCTTCCATGTCCTATCCCAGAACAGACAGAAAGGTGAGACTCTGCAACAACTGGCCAAAGAACACTGGCCAAGGCAAGCTAAGCTCAGCTTTAGCCCCCTGCAGCAGGCCCAGGCACAATAGCAGGACCTCATAACCCTCATGTGCTGCCCCTACACAGGAGCACAGCCCATACAGGGTGAAGCTGCCCTCCTCTCTTACCAAAAGCCACCCTGAGATTCTTTCCTGGAGGGTACCCAAGACCCTGCTGAGAGGTCTTCTCTCCCCTCACCCCGTGGTGGCCTGGGCAGTGCATACTTGTCATTAGCACCCTCTGCAGAAAGCAGAGGAGGAAGCCAAGCCTCTAGGTGAGGTGCATCCAGGGCCATGGTTTTATTACCCAGACAGCCTCTAGGTGGCAATTTCTCCCTTGCCTTTTTTAAGACTAAACTCACACTAGGTGGCCTGGTCCCTCTGTCTCCAAAAGTATACTCAAGTGTACTCCGGGCCAGCTAAAGTGCATTCCCTGAGGCCTCAGACTGACATAGGACACCTTATGCACCCACCCCAGGCCTGGACAGTGTTGGCTTTATGGGGGCAAACTGCACAGCCATGACCCTGGGATGAACTAATGTCCTTAGGACATTCACCAGGCCAGGTGTGCACCAGGACTCAGTGCTCTTCTCCATCATCAGCCAGCTATCCAACCCCATGTTGAAGATCAAATGGGACAAGGCACAGAATGCACCCACACTGTGCCAAACACACAAAGGGCTCACAGATACTGCCATTAGGACAGCAACTGCCATCACAACCACCTAGGCAGGTGGGGGGCAATCCCCTTGTGTGATAGATGGAAAACCAGAGACCCCCGAAGGGTTAATAACATGCCCAGTATCAAACCCCGTGTACCAACCAACCCTGGCTGCCTAGTCCTCTCAGGATAGCAGTAAGAGGTCTAGTAATGGCCTCTCAGAGGGGCCTGGGACAGCTTCACTGGCTGAGGCTTTCCTGAGTGGCAGGCACTGTTTCTATACTTCATACCTGGTTTCACTGAACCTTTGTCTTAAGTTTTAAAGTGGTCAGAGGCCTCTAATGTCACTGTACTCATTTGATAGACCGAGACACATGTACACATATACACAAGACTAGAAGCAGATAAAATGCTCAGTGATCTTTCTTTTTTATATTTTTTTCTTGTATGTTTTGTTTGTTTTCTTTCTTTTGTTTTTTGTCTTTTTTCTAACCAGGGAAGCCATCCTCATCTCTATCACACTCACAACCCTGCAGATAACCTTGTAGTGACTACCCTGACACACAAAGCACACCCCCTCCCCTGCTGTGCCCCTTGTCTTTCCCAGATGCTCCGGAAGGGCCATCAGTACCAGGTCTTGGCAACCACAGAAACTAGGAGATCTTTAAGGCACTGCTCTGGCTGCCACTGACAGCTTGGGCAGATGTGGCAGACTGAGGGCAGGAGGGAGCGGGTGTTTGCTATGGGCCTCGGTGTCCTGTACACTGAAGGGCTTGAACCTCATGGCCTCATGGCTCAGAGGGTCAGGCTGGTAATCTGAACAGCTCTTCTGGTAGGTCAGGAGCAACAAACAGCAAACCCCTGAAGGCAGCTCTCCTGGAGAGCCCTGTCTTCCCACACAACCAGGGCACCCTGCCCACCTGCCCACAGGGAGCTGGGGAAAGGGTCAGGGCAGCTCCTCACCCCCACATCCAGCCCCAAATGGGAACAGAGGAGCCACTGGCTGCCTCCTTGAAGTTTGCAGAACCTGGGACATGACCCAGAAAGGTTAGCTGGTGCTGACAGCTGCCCAGGGGACAGCAGTGGCCCAGGCTCTGAGACCCCCTCACCATGGAACTGCTGGCAACCCTTAAAAACAGCCATGGGCTGTCTGACACCTAAAACTGTGCACCTAGCACCCAACCACTGCTGGGCCAACACTACTAACCCCCATCCGAGGTGGACAGGTCGGGATCAGGTGTCAGTGCTGCGCAGGACACCCGGCAGGACAGCCACTTCACCTACCTTGTTTACTGGCCTCTAGCTGAGATCAGAGAGAGCCCCAAGTGAGATGGTAGAGCCCCGACCTGGCTCGGCCAGTGGGAACCTGGCTGACACCCCGGCGCTCTGAACTGTTAAAGATTAGCCAGCTCCGTGCCTTCTCCCGGCAGGGCGCAGGGAAGGAGCACTCGGTGAGGCTGACGCTGCGCTGAGCTCCACGCCCGGCCGGCTCTGGGCTGCCAGCTACCCTGTAATTACCTGACAGCTCTGACTGAGTTTAGGAACTGCGAACAACCTCAGTCTCATCTCTGGGATCTAGAGGAAGGAAGGGAAATAAAGAGGCATTTTAAAAATGCGGACTCACCAGTTCTCAACCTCCCCGAGCCGGTGTGTGGGAAAGGGCGGGCAGCAGGGCTGGCTGGGGCGGGGGCGGGGCGAGCCATCCCAGGCTCAGGCTCCCGAGCCCGGCCCACTATCCACAGGCCCCGCAGTGAGGGCGTGGCTCCCAAGTTCCACGTCCTGCGAGAGGGGACCATGGCCCGGGGCTCAGCAACCTCCTCTGGGTGCCTGGCAGCCTGCAGAGAGAACAAGGGCAGAGGAGCTTTAAGAGGGCTGGCCCACAAGCTGGGCTCTCTGGAAGGGTCTGTGAACATGGGTCACCTGCTGCCCTAACTGTAGCAAGCCTCAAGGGACCCTGGACTCACAGGAGGAAACAGCATCTATCCCCATATTGGGGGTGCTTTGGTACTGACTATTGGGTCATCAAGTAGGAAGGGAGCAAGTCAGAGCATCTGCCACTCCTTGAGGAGACCAGCAAGCAGACATGCCCAGTGGCAGCCCAGCCCCAAGTAGCAGAGGTTCCAGGACTCCAGCATTCAGGGGTAAGTCTAATCCTTTTCCTCCATGACATCTCATTTTCTAATTGCACTCAGCCGCTTGCTTAACTCAGCCTTCAGGCAGTGTCCTAAGCCTGTGGCCAGGCAGCTAAAGCTCTGAGTATTAGCATCTCACTGAGGAGGGGCTCTGAAGGGCCTGGCCTATGGCCAGGGCCAAGCTGGGCTTACATTCTGCAAATTCTCTCAGAGCCAGTTCATTCACACATTCAAGTAATCTTCATTCAGGGTCTAGGGTGTGGCAGGCAGCCTGCCAGGTGTTCTTTCAGGCTTCATTTAATAATCATTTATTGAGTGCCTACTATGTGCAAGGGACCTAGCAGAAGTCATGAGATCATGAGAAATAGGAGCCTCAGAGTTCCAGCCAGAAGAGAACTAAACATTTCAATAAACCTTCATAGTATCAACAGGCTAAAGGGTGGTCCGAGGGATGTGCCAGGTACCCAGTGCTGTGGGAAGAGGAGGTGGACTAGGAGCACTGGTTTGGGATAGAGTGAACAAATGGGCAGAACAGAGTTCAAGCATTTACTACACAAGTTTTTGAGTTTGGAGGTTTCTGTTGTGATTTGCTTTGGTTATTTGAAACAGGGTCTCCCTATGTACCCCAAGTTGGCCTTAAATCACCATTTTCCTCATTGCACAAGACTTTATTGATGCCAGGTATGGTGGCACATGCCTTTAATCCCAGGCAGAGGCACGTGGATCTTTGTGAGTTCAAGGCCAGCCTGGTCTACATAGTTCCAGGCCAGATGGGGTTACAGGGAAACCCTGTCTCAAAAAGACCAAAAAAACCCCAAGTCTTTATTGAACATACCGTGTGCAAATCAGCCTTGAGGGAATTTACAGCGACCAAACTACAGTCCCAGATTCAGGCTGTGATTCCAGTTACACAAGGAAAGTCAGCTTGGAGAAGCAACATGGAATTTGGTTTGGAGACTGAGTTGGGGACACACAAAGGAATTCCTTTGGAACTACCTGGACTGTGGACCACTTTTACTTTCCCATCCCTCAGTGCACTGACCATTTCCTTCCAGGTAGCAAAGACATCTGTCTGAACAGGGCCCATATTCCCCAAACCACTCTGACACTTTTTAACATCTTCACACACACACACACACACACATACACACACACACACACACACACACGAGGCTCAAGTCAAAGCCTGAGAGGTCAAGGTTGGTGACCAAGACTCAGAGCCAAAGGCCACCACTGCCAAAAGTGAGGAGGAAATCAGCAAAGGTTGTGCAAGAGGAGAGGCAGTGTTGAGGACAGGGCTGGGGGTGAAGCTGGAAAAGGAAGGTCAGAGAGGTGGCAGGAGCTGTTCAGGGAACACGCAAAGTCCTCAGAAGCAGCTGGAGAGCAAGTGGGAAGGACAGAATGATCAAGTGGCCATGACAAAATAGAAGAAAGCCCTATAGGCCTTTAAAAAATTATTTTTATTTTATGTGTGTGTTTTGCATGTATGTATGTAAGTGTACCTGTGTCGTGCAAAGCCCACAAAGGCCAGAAGAGGGTGTAGGATCCCCTGGAACTGGAGTTATGAACGGTAGTCAGCCCAAATGTGGTTGCTGGGAATCAAACTCAGGTCTTCTGAAAGAGCAGACAGTGCTCTTAACTGCTGAGCCATCTCTCCAGCCATCCTAGGGGCCTTTTTAAGAGATGTCAAGAGAGGGTTGGATGTGCTGAGGCAGGAGGATTACAAGTTCCAGACCAGCCTGGGCTAAAAAGCAAGTTCAAAATCTGTCTGAGCTACATAGTGAGACCCTGGAGAGACACAGACAGTAAACTTCCCACCAGGCTTAGGAAGGCTCAAGGAACTGGACAGGGCCTAGAAAGCAGCTGCTTCCTTCTCTTTGGGGAAGTCTGGCCTGGGTGGGAAGATGAACTGAGAGGATGTGCTTCATAGGACAGGGGACAGGAGGCCTGTCGGGTAGACAGGGAAGCATCCAGGGAAAGAAAATGCATCAGTTCAGGAACTGGGGACTGAAGACCTGGGATCTGTACTTGAGAGAATGGGGCTATGGGGTCTCTTCCTTCCTTGACTGAGAACATGGTGGAGGATGTTCTCGTTGCAGTCTCACTGAGAAAGGGACAGGAATGTGGGCCACAGGGTTGGACAGAGTTAATCCAGATACATGCCTCCATACCACTGATGCCCTGAGATGAACAGGTGTGGGATGGAAGAAGCAAGGGGATCACAAATGCCCTCCTCAGGCACAGAGCTGGACATAAAGCTGATCCTGTAGGCCAACAGGATGGAAAAGGACAGTCCTGTTCAGGCCCAGCTTCTAGCAAAGTGAGATGGTGTGGGACAGCGGCCCACTCCATGGATGAAAGAGAATACTCTAGGAGAGATCAGCTCAGTCAAGACAGGCAGGGGAGGGAGGAGACCATTATTTCCCTTCTCTCAGGAAGGGAAGTTGGAGAGGCAGCCCAGAAGAAAGAGGAAGGGTGTGTGCTAGATCCCCCAAAGGAAAAAGCAGCTCAATTTAGCAGTTGGAAACCCGGGTGTGAAGGTCAGGAGTACCAAGGAATCTCAAACAAGCCCAGGGTTCTAAGAAGCATGCTTTCATGCACAGGAGTTTAACCTGGTGCCTCTACCAACGTGGGATTCATGGGGTAGGGCTATGGGAATGGTTGGGGGCTTGGCTCTGCCCCATAGGAGAAGTACGACTTTGGGAGAATTACCTGACCTCTGCTTCATCATCTCCATCTATTAAGAACTGCACCTGAGAGGGCTGGCATAAAGATCAGACAATGCTGGCACATACAAAAAGCTAAAGATGTTCTCTTTCCCCGCTTTGTCCCATTGGAGGGGCTGGCTGAGGGAGGGGCATGTGCCTCCCTGGGTTTAGGCCAGGATGGTAGAACTGCCCTCCTCCTGCCCTAGACCAGACAGTTGCGAAGATTGGGGAACAGACTTCACATTTGCCTAGACACTGCTGCTGGGGACAGCTTGGTCCTCCTGGGAGAGCATTTTGTGGCTGAAGTGGACTGGGAGTTTCCTGGCACAGAGACACATGTCCTAGCTGTTCCAGGGCATCCAGATTTCAAAGTCTTCACTCCCTGGTGCCCATACAGACAGCAGAACTCAACACCCCACCCCCTGGTTCTTCAATCTAGCCACTGCAAAATACACAGCCCCATTCTGGGGCTGCATTCCTAGCAAATGACTCTCTTGGGCCAAGGAGACAGCCCTTTTATCAAGGGCATGGAGAATAAGTCCTACCAGGCAAGGAAGGGCACTCACACAGCCTGGGGCAGGGAGGCACTAGGAATGGTGAAAAGCTGCTGTGGTCACAACACCGAAGCTTGAGATACCATACATTGAGGGGGGGGGGCAACAAATGTACTTAAGAATTTAAAGCCAGCTTCCTCTTTAAATCTCCCAGGACCAGGCCCTTCACTGGGTCGGCCAGAGTTCTACTGGAATTCTCAGTCGGGGGCTGAAGAGACAGCTTCAGCGCTCCCCCTCCATGCTGGGATTCCTCAGCAGCAGCTGTCAATGACCCTATACCTCCCCGCTCAAAGGGTATCCCAGAGGCCCTTCATCCTAACCTGGGGGCTGATGCACTCCACCCCAGGCCTGGCGGAGAAAGCCAACAGCCCACAGGACGCAGTGGAACGGCCCCACACAGCGGTCTTGCTGCGGGTGACCCATGCAGGGGAAGGGGGCGCGCCGACTGCCACTAGCTCCCGGGTCGGGTCTGCCCTCGCCTTTGAGATCTGAGGCTCGGGGGATCCAGGGGCCGTGCGGCCCCCGCGCCCAGCTCCCCGCAAGGTCCTCAGATCGGGCTGCAAGACGCCGGAGGACCCTGAGCACAGCCGGGTCTCCCGGGGACAGATCGCCGCGCCCGCCATGGGTTGGGGCAGGGGCGTCCAGCCAGTAGGGCCGGCGCGGACGCGGAGCCCACTGGGCGCACCGGGAGGAGCGCGGTTGCCCAGCCCGTCCCCAGCCTGCCCGGGCCCCGACTCACCCGCCTGGCCGAGGCAGGATGCCGGCGTCGCCGCAGCGCCCTGGGCTCGGCCCGCTCCCGCCCGCGGGGAGGCAGCTCCACGCCGCCGCCTCCTCCTTGGTCAGCCCGGCGCCCGCCCCTCCCGCACTTTCCACAGGAAATGATTAACTCCGGCCGCGGCGCGTTCCCATGGCAACGGCTCGGGAGGTGGGGGCACGCGCACTCTCGCGCACGCGCCTGCCCCCAGACGCGTGCTTCCCCCACACCCCCCCAGCACACACTGATGCACACGTGTGTGCTCACGCGCTGGTGCACACTCCCTGGCACATCTGCTCGTGCCTATGGAACAGGCTCATACCCTCTAATGCACGCCGCGTGCCTGCACACACCCCTCACACCCAGTGCCGGAACGCTGGGCCTCCTGTCCCACCCAGGTGGTACATTCGGAAACAAACGGTTTACACTAAGCCTCAAACCCAGGTGCAGAACTTTCGCGCACTCCACCTAGGAGCCACACATTCTCCACACGCAGGCTCATACCTTAATAACATGTTTTCTCAATCTAGCACACATGCGCTTGCACACGCAATCAGACGCGTACACACTTTCACCTGCTCTAGTACACAGGCACGCACACTGTTGTGCAGCGTACACATATATTCGCACCCTCACACTCAGCTAGCCAGGCTGTCTCTCCAGCTGCACCCCTGCGCCCTAGCCAATGAGCATCATTCAGAGCAGCCTGCTTGGGGTTTGTTAAGGTAACACATTCCTTCAAGCTCGGGTGAAAACAGTTCAGAGTGCCACAGCTCTCAGCGTCTGTAAAACCTCCTCCTGGGGCGCCTGGGAGCCTCAGAGGAGGCCTGGGGAAGAGCAGGCCCAGCCAGCCAAGAGAGACAGCTGACCCGGAGGAGCCACTCTGTTCTTTGTCTCCCAAACAGAGGCAGCATTTAGTTCTGCCACAGTATGCCCCCTCCAGGGTGCGGAAGGAGAAAGAAGCGGTTCAGGAGCTTGTCCAACTTGAGCTGATGGTCCCGATAACCACAGAAGGGTCGGCAGTCTGCCTCTTGCCGTTTGGCAGAGGATGGTCTAGGAGGGATTGGAGGGAATCCTGCAGCCTCAGGCGGACCACTCTCCTGCTGCTGCCCAGGAATGGGGCCGGGAGTCAAGAATCTGGACCAAAACAGAGCCAAGACCCTAGGCCTCACAGAATGCTGGGTGCCAGAACAGGACAGTCACAGCCCCACAGCTGGAAGCATGCAATATCTCCTTCATTGGAACCTCTGTTCATTGAGGGGTGGGATGGGGAGTGTCTGTCTTTAAACCTAGCACTGGGGAGGCAGAGGCAGGTGGATCTTCATGAGTTCAAGGCTAGCCTGATCTACATAGTGAGTTCCAGGCCAGCCAGGGCTACATAGTCTTCCAGCAGCCAAAGAAAGTAGACGTGCGTGAATATGTTTTAAAAAAAAAAAAAAAAAAAAAAAAAAAAAAAAAAAAAGGCCTTGTTTTGTGGATTGAAACGGTGACATTAACTGTAGCTCCCTTCTAGCAAAGCCAAAGTGAGATCTGTAAGTTAATAAAAACATTTATTATTCCCTTTTTCTTGAATTACAAAAGTAATGGATGTTCATTGTAACCATAATCCCGCCCACTGGAGATAAATGCTCCCAACACTTTATTTAGTAACAGCCTTTTTTTTTTTTTGCCTGTGCACATAATAGATACCATTTATTCGTAGTGAATGCAGTGCCAGGCATCACACTAAGCTCTGTAGCCACAAAATCCTGTTTAAAGAGCCTGTGAGGTGGGTATATCCTATCCCCATTTGTTCAGGAGAGGAAAAGTTCATTGGCAAACCTAGAGTGTGTCAGAGCTGAGGCTCTGAGTCCAATGTGGAGAGAGAGAGAGAGAGAGAGAACCACTACATGAGCATTAATGTAAGAGTTTGTTAAGACTAACACACTTGCAAAGGAAAAGAGAAAATCCAGGCATTAGGAGGACACATCTTGGAAATTCCAGCAAAGCTCTGGCTTGAAATGTAAAAACGAATTAAGTGATTGTAAGAATTTAAGAATGCAGCCCTGGGGGCTGGAGAGATGGCTTAGTGGTTAAGAGCACAGACTGCTCTTGCAGAGGACCTGGGTTCAATTCCCAGCACCCACTTGGTGGCTACGAACAGTCCTTGACTCCAGTTCCAGGGGAATCCAACTCTCTCTTCTGACCTCCGAGGCATTGCACAATGGGTGCACTCACATACATGCAAGCAATACACTCATACACATAAAATAAAAATAATAAATATGTATTTAAAAAAAAATGTGGGCCTGGAGAGATGGCTCACTGGTTAAGACCACTGGCTGCTTTTTCAGGGGACCAGGTTTGATTCCCAGTACCTACATGTAGGCTAACAACTGTCTGTAACTCCAGTTCCAGGGGATCTGATGCCCTCTTCCGACCTCCACAGGCATTGCATGACACAGGTGCACTTACATACATGCAGGCAATACACTCATACACATAAAATAAAATAAAAATTTAAAAAAATTTTTAAATTCAAGAATGCGCAGTATACTGGCTCTGGTTGCACAGGCCTGTCATTCCGGCCACTGGGGATGCTGAAGTAAAAAGATTATAATTTTTAAAAAAATACTTTATTATTTTTATTTTATGTGTATGCGTGTATTCCCTGCATGTAGGTAAGTACACCTGTGTGCAATGCCCATGGAAGATAGAGGAGGCTGTCAGATCCCCTGGAACTGGAGTTACGGACAATTGTTGGCTGCCATGTGGGTGTTGGGATTCAAACCTGGGTCTTCTGCAAGAACAGCTAGTGTTCTTAACTGTTGAGCCATCTCTCCAGCCTCCAGATTATAATTTACAGAGTGAATTCAAGGGCAACTTTGTGAGCTCCTGTCTCAAAATAAAAAAAATTTTAAAGGAATGGGATGTAGCTCAGTGATAGTGTTTGCCCTGCATGTACAAGGCTTTAAGTTCAATCTTGAAGGGAGGGAAGGAGAGAGGGAAGAAGGGAGGGAAGGAGAGAGGGAGGGAGGGAGGGAAATAACACACTATTACCAGGAACTGCAAACTGCTCCAAGGTTATTTCCATCTCAGAACTGTTATTGGTAGTTTAAATGGAGGCTGCCAACTCTCCCCACAGAAAGGTGAAGGATTTTCCAGAAACCTGGCCATGCTAACCATCCAGGCCATCAAAGCCCTTGGCCTTGCCACTTCCTGCCTGCTGTGGTAGAGACATACTTGTCTAGGACCAGACAAAAGGCAGTGACCAGAACACTACAAACCCATCCCTACATCCCCAGAGCAGGGGTCAGAGGTAGGTAACATCTTAGTGCTCAAAGGGCCCAAAAGCCCTAACCACTTAGTCACCAAGGGCCCAAGAGCTTCTTTACCTAGAGGTAAGCAAAGAGGGGAAATGAGAAAGCCCCACTGAAAGCTCTTTTCCATTCTCCTAGCAAAGTTCAACACAGATAAGAGGATGAGATTTTCCAGTATTGGTAATTTCACAGGCTAGTCACCTCCAGGCCAGCTCTCCCCTGCCCTACCACCTCATTCCTTTCCCCTCCCACCTACCTCTATTAACCTTTGTCTCACCCATTCCAGGTGACCTGCAGTTCTGCAAGTCCTACAAGCTCAGGGATTACTTTCCCTTTCCCTTGCAGGCACAATGCTGGCAGGCTCCCCACCCTGATGGTGTGCCCCCCTCACCCCCATACACACAGGTCATGTAGAATTCTGAGAGCAGGCTACATGAAACACATCCAAATAGACTTTCACTAAAGCAAATTAACTCGAATTCCTTCCTGAAGTTGATGAGGAAGATCTTGAAGCAGTCATTTTCAATGTGGTGAGGAAGAAGCTCCAGAAGCTGGGGACAGTTTAATGTGAGTTTAGTCTGAGCAAGAGGCCAAGCTCTTCATAACAAGAGTGGGGGCGCTTGGACCCTCTTGGCTGGACTATCAATTCCTCCAGCCCTTGTCTGCTGTAGACTCTGCTCCCACCAGAACAAACAGCACCTTTGGCCTGTATCTTCTCCATCCCCTTCCTGCACCCTCTGTGTCCCCACTTGCTAAGACCCAAGTTAACAAGATGAAACAATTCTATTTTCAGAGGACTCTGCAGGGAGGCAAGGCAATCTTCACTGGCGCCAAACCTCCTAGCTTTTGAAATAGCCAGACCTGTCAGCCTTTCCGCATTGAGCCCCCACTCTCAGGTGAGGGGACCCAAAAACAACCTACCTCTGACCAGCAGAGGAATCTGGTACTCAAAGAGGCGTTCTCACCCTTATCAATTCCTGTAGTCTAAAAATGAAAGGAATGCAAACACTGGAGAGAAGAGAAAGCTAAACACCAGGTTGTAAAAAGATTTAGCGAGAGTGACTGCGGGGAAGCGGGTGGATAAGCTCCGCCCCCAGACCGCCCCTCTGATTCAGCTTCCCAGCCACTCCAGAGTCTGGCTCCTCCCCCAAGCTCTCCAGCTTCACTTCCGGTTTCCAGGTCTGTCCTTGGTCTTGGCCGTTTGAACGCCACCGGTCCTTCCCATTTTCCCATTCTTGCTCCTTCCTCTCTCCTTATTTTCCGTGTTTGGATTTTTTTTTTTTTTTTTATGGTGCCGGGGATTGAACTCAGAGTCCTGGCAATTGCTAAGCAAGTGTCTTACCACTGAGCTAGGCCCAAGCAGGATTTTGAGTTTTTGTTTTGAGGGAGATGGCTCAGTGGGTAAAGGCTCTTGCCACCAAGCCTGAGTTTGATCCCTGAGAACCACGTGGTAAGAGTGACCTGACCCACAAATTGTCCTCTCCCTCCATACCTGTCACATGGCTCACGTGCTCATATTCAAAAAATAAATAAGGGGCTGGAGAGATGGCTCCTTGGTTAAGAACACTGGCTGTTCTTGCAGAAGCGGGGAGTTGGATTCACAGCACCCACATGACAGGTAACAACTGCCAGTAACTCCAGTTCCAGGGGATCCAATGCCCTCTCTGTCCTCCAAGGGCACTGCACAACACAGGTGTACTTACATGCATGCAGGTATAACACTCATACACATAAATAAAAATAAAGAAATAAAAATGTAATAAAAGAAAAATGCTTTGAGACAGAGACTCGATATTTTGTCCACTTGGTCAGGCTAGTCTCAA